CCCCCCGGGGGGGGGGGGGGATGGTTACTCGAGTCGATTGAAAACCGGAAGTGACGTGCTACGGCGGTCGTTAATCACGCGAAAGAAAATAAAAGTAAAATCGCGAAGCGAGAAAATCTGTCCCATAAAAAGAATCGCGCCACTGGAATGCATTATTGTCATTGTTTTTGTCGGAGGTAAGGGTAGTTTTTTTCCAAAGGGTAGGGGGGATGTAGGGCACTCTCAGCCACTGGAAACCACTCCCTCCTCCATTGCCACCGGATATTAATTAGCCAAGTAATATCCGGCGAGCGACCCGACACTCTGCGAACAAATGTCATCCCCCCTTTTTTTTAACTTTATTTCACTAATTTTTTTAATGCTTCGAATTTCCCCCAAAAAAAAAAAATCACTCTACGCCCTTGCCACTTCTCGATATCGTTCGGGATCGAACAATCGGTGCCCCCCGGCTGAACCTCCAAGTGACGCACCTGAATAGCCTCGTTGCTCGTATTGGTGAAATGTTAGGGTCGTTACGTAATGCACGACACTAATAGCACCGGCAGGTACGTACTATCGGTGTAATTTCCCCGGTGCACCGACACGAATGTCCATAACTCGTACGACAGCTGCCCCTACAATCTCCCATATCTGAAGCCATAAGGGACGATCCAACAGGAAACGGACAAACGTTCGGGAGCGTCCGCATTCAGCGTACGCGGCGGATAACGAGCGGAACGGACAAAAGGTACGGTAATGAATCCTGTGAAAAGTATCCTGCCGGGGGGAGGAACCGCCGAACGCGTTAACGTCCCATTAAGGGGTTGAAAGGGGGTGGATATGAAACTCGCATCCCCTACGAGACATCACTCGTCCATTTACATCGTTCGCACGATACCCGACGCGACCTTTTTATTCCCCGCGAACGGTTTACCCGTACACGAAACATCCCTTAGCGATAAGGGATGCGAGAAGGGAGAGGAAAGACGTCACGAGATACGATAAAGTCGGTCTAGTAACTACCTCTGACATTACGCACTCTTCCTTACACCGTGCGTACGTGATTTAATCGCCTACGTCAAATATCCTGGCTGTACCAAAGAATCATCCCCTTTAAAAAAAGGCACTTTCTCATGGTTGGATAAAAAAACAAATTTTTACCTACGTAAAATATCACGTGGTTGTTCTTTTTTCTTCGTCCACCCCCACCCCTGAAAATACGTTTAATTCATCTCAGCTTCGAATGGAGTCTACCAGCGAATCAGAATTTGACCTACGATTTTGTATTAACCTGTTGCGTAATACTAATGTGGAATTTAGTTGCGTTTCCACGTGGGTATAAGCGCTATGTGTCGCACGTGTCGCCGCTCACGAGTCGTTCTGCACAATGGCATAGCTAGTGGTAATAACGCAAAGCCTCAGGACGTTCCTGGTAGTGGCGCAAATTGCCAGGGCGGTTCCGTATGCAAAGTGTTATACGGTACGTTGTACATATACGTACCGTATGTACGTATATATATATAAGATGGATAAACTTGAGAAGGATATGTCCCTTCTCGTGTAAAGGGAAGATAAGGTGGATGTGCCTGTTGGCCGATGCCCTTCCTGTTAGGCGTATATGTATGTATACACTGTTAAAAAAAAAAAAAAGGAAAGATACGTCCCTCCAAGACTTTTGATCCCCCCCTATATCTAAAAGTCCTTCCAAGATCCTCTTCCTTCGGGATAGCTGGCTCTCGATAGTCGCGTGGAAAAGGTCACAGGTAATCCCAAGGACTGATAGCCGCGTATCGGCGCTCCGTGTTACGCGAGGAGGAGGCGGAGCGGCCGGTCGGGTGTGCCGGCGATAAGCTCGTAGGGCGGGGGGAGTGGGGGTGACCCCCCCGGTTGAAAGAGACAGAGAAAACCCGTGAGGTCATCCTCGCGCGGCGGGAAGTCGAGTGTGCCGCAATGCAGTTGGAATCTGTCCTTCTCTCTGGTGCAACTGCAACTGCCGGCACTTCAGCTTCCTATTTCGTATTCCATATCCAGCCTTACCTCATAACACTTCCCGCTGAAGCAACGTCCAGTCCGCGTGTCCCCGGCCAGTCCTTCGTGAGGTATCTGGAAGGAAGATAGAGAGGGGGGAGTATGTGTAAGAAAAAAGGGGGGGGGGAGCGGAAGTAGAAAATGAATCCACGTCCTGAAGATGGGTTTGGTGGCGCGATGGGAATTTTGAAGTTGGCGATAAAAACAAGAGTTAAAGTATGGGGGGGGGTTGTGCAATTGTCTTTGAAACCAGACCCGATGATGTTCATAGGAGTTGGAGATTGGTCGTGTAGCGTGTATCAATTAATGGCGCGTTTCCATCCGACTACTTTCACGTCGTTATCGTCAGTCGCGACGAGAAACAGGGATCCCTGTGAGAACGCGACACCAGTGGCGACGCTTAACGGACGTCGGGGGAACTTGATCGCGTTAACGGGGACTACGTGGAAAGGCGCGTTTCTAGGTCGGAAATGGCTTCAAAGGGTGTCGACGGACCGAGGCCGAACCACCGGGATCCGATTGCAGGGATCCAAAGCGACAATTGCACATTCGATACTCGCCCTGACTTTGGTCGGTAAGAATTTCTTATTTATTTATTTCGACTCGATTCCTGCTCCTCGTTCAATCCTATTGCGTCAAGACGTTTGGTTTTCACTATATTATCGTGTTAAAGGGTTGCTACCCTCTGCTCAGCTTCCGCCCTGTCGCCGCGAACTGCCTACCAATGCACTGATTGGTGCGTGCACGCAATCCAGTTAACCCCAAACGTCCCCCTATGAAACTCCCTGCACCTGCTACAGGGTGCGGACGACTTTGACTCACGCGCAGCTAGTCACAGATTAGAAAGTCAGACTTTGTATTGTGATGATCAAGGAGGGTCGATCGGGGGTTGTGAACTTAAGATAACTTGACATATATATATATAGATATATTAATAGGTCCTTTGACAAGTGTATAACGTGATTGGTACCAGGGTGCATCATTCGAAAATAAATGCCGGGGTGGATCGGAGTTATCGTGTATGTTAATTTGGGAAATCCCTTATTCAGGGACAGTTGAGTAAGCGGGGATGAGAAGGGGGTTGCATATATATTTTTTTAAATGGCTAGGACGATATTTTATCGAAGGGGATGATCAGTCTGCTGTTTGGTACTGAAAATAAAAATTAATTGCTGACTTACGAACTGATTAATTTTCACGTAATTCCGTGCGCGTTTGCTTTTGTTTACAGGGAGTGCCATTGTTTTTCGAGTGGCACCCTGGATCGCTGTCCTTTGCTTTTTCAACGACGAATTTTCATGTAGAAGCCCCCCCGCCCTATTATAAATGAAAGGCTTTTGTTCGGTCGGTAGGAGAAGCACGTATGCTTATACGGTGAATTTCGTTGAGGCACTTGGTCCTTTTTTTTTTTGTCACGTTTTCGCCATTTTACGTTGAATAAAATGGGAATTGTATTCAGGGAATTTTTTATATTTTTTTTTTACCACCTTTGCGGGACTGACAAAAATTTATCCCACGCGATACCTCGTAACGTCACGAATACAGTAATAACTCTCGTAAACAATACATACCGATATCGGCAGAGGGTTGTAAATAATACAAGAGTTTCGGGATTAAAGTAATTTCCAACGAAGCGTCAAATCCGCTTTTCGACCCTTCGAACATTACGTCTCGTTAATTATTTCCTGATATGAATCAAGCGTCCCGGTAACGGCTTGGGCAATGCGACGTCAATTTTCATATCAACCCGTAAAACAACCTGACGGCACAGTCTGTACCTAAGGGCTGCATTTCAATGGACCGTAATATAATTTCCGAGCGATCTGTCGTTTTCATATTAACCGTACGAAATAAATCCAGCTGTTAAAAAGAAAAAAATAGAAATTCCTACCCGACTGAAAACCAGCTGACACGATTGGCCAGGTAAAAATTAAGAATACAGTAAATTGGTTTCTTTGTCAAATCTGTAAAAACAGCTGACAGGCAGTCCACGGTGGCAATTGTGACGTAAACCAACTTCGAAGCGATTTTTAAAAAATCAACTGATTCACTTATGCGTACTAACCGAAAATCCAGCTGCATCTGTTATTCCCCGAAAACCAGCTACTGCATACACGCGTGACTTCGCTATGAGATCTTCAGTTACCTGTGCAATTGGCTTCGCGTTCGCTTATCTCTACTACTGTCCGTACAACTGTTACCAACTGCCTGACACGAACTACCAATTGCCACCGACTATCTATCTCTACCAGACAATAGACTCGCCAAGTAAGCTGGTTCTCTTCTATTTCGAGGGTCGACGCTCAAGATTCTCGTGGTACATCAGGATGCTGCATTATACCTAGTCGAGATTATATATCGAGAGCTGCTGATAGTGAGAAAATGAGAGCATGGAGTCAGCACCAGACGCCTTCACCTTCCCACCGCTTCAACTTCACTTCTTATACCCATAGCTATCCGCTGGTACTCTGCTACTAGAATTATTATGATACTTGACAATCTATTCATCGCACCCTCGTACGTACATATACATACGTATGTAAGATATGCAGGTTACTTTCTAAGGATGAGGATATTTATTTTTTTTTTTTTTTTCATTTTTTTCTAAGGTTGACACCCCTGTGGATTTTACTCGCCGATTACCTTATTAACTATTCCATACTGAGATCAGTCTATCTTCTGTTACAGGTTGCTGACATTCTGCTACCTGGCTGCTCTAAATTGCTGGTTGCTCCTGTGCCCAGCCACCCTGTCCCACGATTGGCAGATGGGCTCCGTACCCCTGGTGGCTTCACTGGCAGATACAAGAAATTTGGCAACCTGCCTCTTCTTCGGGGGTTGCCTGGTCCTGACCTACAAGGCATTTACGGATTTCGAGGTTAGTTTGATTTTACAAAAATTTTCATCCATGACCTTTCACCCCATCCGAACACTTCGGCCAGCTCCCCAAATGGCGACTGTATCATATATCACCGAAGCCACCCCTAAAAAAATGAAAACTCAGGTTTAGCTGATTCAGAATTTAAGGGATCTTGTTGCTCTGCTTTACACCCCTAACCCTTACCACTAGATCACTTGTTCGACACTTTAATGCAACGACCCTTTACGCTTTACTGCTCTGTGTACTCTCTCTCAAGTAGCATCTAAGTACCTTACATAGGTACCAACCCCCTTTATACTACTACCTTGACTTTTCCTGGTTCCATTTCGTCTACTAGCGATTCTTACCAAGTTAAATACTTCCGTGCGACATCCACTTTTCCTGAAACTGTCCAAACTTTTTACACGAACGTCCCCCTACGGACTTCTTAATCCACCCTGGTAACAGGGATACGGTCAAGTATTCATTAGTCAGTTTATACAAGGAATAAGAATCCCTTGATAATTTTCCAAATTTTTTCTATCCGTCCGACCCCCCCCCCCCCCCCCCCCCC